TTGGGATTTCTATTTACATAGTAAATTAACATATTCTTTCAGGAAAGAGCATTTGTTCGAAAATTATTTTTAGATTTTTTGTATAAAAAAATATAAGCTTGTTTATTATACAATAACAACCACAAAGAACATACGAAATATATTCAATTCAGCAATACAGGGTGGTAAATAATAGGGTAGATTGTTATATGAACTAACTGTCAAATAAAGTGAGTGTTTTTTTTCTGTCAATATTGTGGGACGTACTGATGAATTTTTATTGCTTATATTTCGACTCCAGTGTTAATAAAAAATTACAACAATTATTAGGTAATCCAAAGGATAAAACACCTCTACTGGAAAGGTCGCGTATTTATGAAACTTCTTGTAAAGATTGTAATCAGAAATATGTTGGGCAAACTAGAAGATCAATATTAACTAGATTTATTGATAAGATATGGTAGACTGGATAAATCTTGCGTTGCCGAACATATTGTTGATAAAGAACATTGTATAGATCTTAATAACTTAAAATTACTTAAACAAGTCTCAAATTACAGGCAATTAGATGCATATGAAACCATCAGAATTAATAAATGTAAAGATAGTATGAACAGAGACAACGGTCCAATTCCTTCAAGTTCTTTGTTCCTACTACTCTAGTGGCGGAAATCGAACTGTTACGCTCGGTGGGTTCTGACTCGGTTGGCTAGATCTTGCCACACCCATTCTGTGCCCACTGAGCGAGTATAAAAACGCTCCAATTGTAGATTGTATTTTAGTTTATAATCATCTGCTGATGATGCTAACATGGTTAGCGAAACGCGCGTCCAGTGTAAAAGTAAAAGTGTTTTGGTGTATTGTGGTGATTTAGTGTTTTATTTTGCTGTGTAATCCAAAGGTTCCAACCCTCAACTGTAATCCAGTGTATTCTATAGACTTTAATATCCAAATAATATGTATGTTCGGAAATACAGGATGTAGAAGTTTTATTTTTATTTCGATTTTTTCCGAATAATTTCTGAAGTAACGTCAATATTTGGATGAAAATTAGTTTCTGGGAGTTTTTTGACATTAAAAATTTGATTTTGATGTCAATATAGGTCCTATTTGTAGAGGGCGCCACCTACATATTACGTTTTTTACGTAAAAAAAGTCTCTTGGCAAAAATAGCTACTAGTAATGGTTCTCGAGATATTTGGAATCGAAATTATCAATACCTGTCATCATTGACATAAATTAAACATACTGACATCAAAATAAAATTTCTCATGTCAAAAAACTCCCAGACACCAATTGCCATCCAAATATTGACGTTGCTTCATAAATTAATGCGAAAAATCGAAATAAAAATGAAACTTCTACACCCTGTATTTCCGAAACTATGCATTTTCGGACATACATACATTTATACGAACTTTTTGAAGCAGAATGGACTGCCGAAGTTCCCGGAATACTTTTAGGTCGGACATCCCTGTATATTTTTTTTTTTCCTTTTTTTTATTCTTGTAGTTAGTTACTGACAGTGATTTTATTTGAAATAACTCTATTTAAACCTATCTGGAATCAAACTGATCCAGATATAGCCAGAGGAAAACTAAATTACACGAGAAAAAACGGGAAAAAATTAAAGTAAGACGACCCGAGGAAAATCGGATGGAAAAAATCGGAAAATCCTTGAATCGTCTTTTCGATTCGGCATTTAGAAGACCGTAAGTTGTTTATCCAGGTAATTTTCTGGAAAATACTCACATAAACACAAGAGTTTCGGGGTTTTCATCAAAGGAAACGATAGAGAAGTTCAGAGAATGGAGTTTTTTATCAGATTTAAGAAATACATCGGAAATTGACTATGACTGGTTAATTTGATATGGCATTTAACCGATTCTTATTTATACAGGGTGTTTCAAATTCGGCTTTCTCTCAAAAACGGTAAGAGTTACAGGGTGGATTAAATTGAAGCAAGCATCTACGTTGAACACAGTATTAACACTGTTAACAGAAACAATGATCCTATTCCTTTTTATTGCCTTTTAATAATTTTTGTAGTTTTTTTCCATAGCAACTGTTAAAATTGCCTTATATCTATCAAAAATACTAGATAAAATAGTACTTTAACCGCAAAGGTAGATTAAATGATATTTTAACAGCGAGGATAGGTTAAAAACTTTATTTCTTCTCGCACGTTTTTTAATTGCTTCCATTTTTGAAAATATTTGTATTCTTTTTCATAAGTTATTCGGGATTTAAATGGACGTAGTTTGGATATGGCGTTTGTCGCCTCAGCCTGAATATCTGTTGGTAATTTACTTATTTCGTTTTGAGCCATTTCTGGCTCAAGCTCAGAATTAAAAAATATTGACTCAAAACTGACAACTAAAGAGACATCTTTATTTATTTGTCAAATTACATAGAAACCAACGCCAACCCAGCACAATATTTTTTCTATAAGAAATTCCTTGAAATAATAATTTCTGAATATTTTTTAAAACGTAACTCGCTATGGAAAAAATATTGTTTTATACACGACGATAAAATTGCATTATCGTCTTCCAAAATTAAATCGGTCGGTCGACGATAAAATACCATTTTATCGTCTTGTATAAAAAATTACTATTATTATTATCGCCATATTTATGTCCTTCAAAATAGCTCCCCGGTTAGTTCTAACAAAGTAAAACATAATATTAAAGTCAAGCTATATTCGGTACTGTTAAATTTACACGCTATAAAAAGACATTTTAAAGAGATTCGCCTTTTTTATAGTTCTAGTTTAGAGACGGACATGAATATGAAGCTGCTCATAAAGTATTCAGAAAGTTTTTAAAATAATATCAGATTTATAAGAGGCTTGTACGCTGGAATGGGAGAATTTTATTCCAGAAAAATGAGAAATATTTTTAAATTTATTAAAGTCGGTGTGTTTATTGGTCATAAAACATCTCGAAAGCACAGACTTTACAGTAATGATTTTTTAATATTAAAAAAGATGTTATTAAAAATGAAGAAGAAAGTAATGAATATTAAAAAAGCGTCAGTGATCTGACTGATTCAGTGTTACTGAACGAAGAATGGACGTTATTTTGGACGACAACACAGTTTCAGTGATGAAGTTATTAGTATACAGGGTGATACACGGCGATGGAGAACCGGTGATAGGATTTTTTTGAATCCTTGGATTTACCTACAGGCATGGTATAGGTTAGTATAATAGAAAAATCGATACTAATGTATAAAATCCTTAAGTGACTGACTCACTGATTATTCACGATCCTGCTCAAACCACTCAATGTAAGAAGCTCAATTTTGGCATACAGGTTGATTCTAGGGTGTAAAGGTTTGATAAGAAGGGATTTTTCGAAATTCCAGTTCCAAGGGGGTGAAACCACCCCTCAAATATTACAATATTTTTTTTATTTAAAAAACGGTCAAGTTTCCGAAAAAACACAACACGTATATTTTATTTTGTTTTTTTATATATTTTAAGATTTTTTAAAAATGTATACAGGGTGTTTCGAAAAATATGACCATCGAGTAATCACGATTTTGCTTAAACTGCTTGACGTTTAAAGCTGATTTTTGGCAAACGGATTGGCTGTGGGGTGTAGAGGTTCGATAAGGAGGGGTTTCTCGATTGTTTTTACAAATTTAAAAAAAAATACCACCGGTTCTCCATAAACGTCTAACGTGCGGTGACCCTGAATCACCCTGTATATAAACCTATAATAGTTACCCTATAACTAAACCCATAATAGTCACGAAACGACACCATCAAATATTTGTTCTAAGTACTTTATCAAGAGTTTAATGGCTTATGTCCCTGCTCTGGCCTGTGCAAACGCCATTTTTCTTTTGTATGGCACCGCCATCCGTTATTTATGCAACCATCAATCACCGCGGGCACCGAATTACAACGGCGAAACTCCAACAAAACTCTTGTTTGCAACAAAATATTAATTAAACTTTGGTTCGGGAGATAAAAACCATTTTTGTGTGTCCTGGATGTTCGCTTGTCGGTTTTTGTAAAAAATATTAGCTTTAAATATATAACAAATTGCCATCTTTAGATATATTAGTTGTTACAAATACTAAAAATTGTCTGGAATTTGATGTCTACCGGGTATTTCTCAAAAGTGGCTCACACCTATAACTTTTTTTATTTTTTCAAATAAATAAACTAGATTTAGTACGTTAGTATAAGAAATAAATCAGGATTGAATGGCGTATTCAATTTTTTTTTGGTCACTTCCTGTTTCACCGGAAATGACAACAATTTTTGATTTTTATACGGAACCTTTTCTTTTGTTTTATGGGTAAATAATTCAAAAATGCAAATTAAGTGTGTCTAGTAGGCCGCCTTTATAATTTGACAATCTTAATATCGGACGTGGAAATAACTCAAATGAGTAATTTAAATGTGTCTAGTAGGCTGCCCTCATAATGACTTTGTTTGCAGAAGCGGCTGTAAAGTAAAAAAGCGGCTAAAAAAAATACACTTTAGGGACGTTAATAGATCCGTAAAACTTCATTTTATGTGACATTCGCTTAAAAATATATCAGTATTTAATAAATTATAAATAATGTTGTTTTTACTCTCTCTAAAGCATTCTGAAGCTTCTTCGGCCCACAAAGAAACCGCAATAGTTAATTAGTCTCTCTGTTTACCCTCAGCACACTAAAGGATGATAGATAATAAAGGATTTGGAATAATCTAGAACCCAAAATCTATCTATAACTCGGGGTTTATGCCAAGCTTAACCATGCTTCATAGTTTGCGATCGAGTGTTCTCGATGTAACTAGTTTCAGTATGAAAGACCACAGCGTACGTATTATAGAGAAAGATACATAGTTTTATTCAAATTTATTAAAACGAAGTAAATATATAATTAGAATTCATAATTAGTATGTATATGATGATCACTTCTTTAAAATCAATAAAAGATGAATGTTATATGTATTGACTGAGTTAAGGCGCTTTAAAAATTCAACTTTTAAAAAGAAAAAAAACTATAGGACTTACCTTGTGATACAACACATTGCCCAGCCAAGTTGATGAACAGCACCATGAAAAATATGGGCCATTTTTCAATGCCCATATCTGCGACTGCTTCCACTAGCTACCCTTTGTTTGAATACGTCACTGCATCCATTAATTCGGAATAAACTGATTTATTCCTCTGTGGCATGTCCATAGAGCAAAATATCCGATTAGTAGTCCTCTGGATTCAAATACGCTTGTTATAGTTTTTGAAAAAGTCAATCTTGTAGTGACTAGTAGAAAGAGGAGGGAATTGTTCAGTTAGAGGCATCTGAAAGATAGAGAAAAAAAAAGCATTATTAACCCAGATAAATAACAAATAGTTTTTTTTAATAAATAGACTAAAGGTACATAAAAAAGGAATAAACTTCAAAAAAATATTTATTTACGCAAAATAATTTTCATCCGCTTGTGAAAATATCCAACAAGGACACACTTGTTACGCTTGTCACGAACCCAGCCCTAATAAAAATCCGGAAATTTCCAGATTATATGGTGCAAGGCAAATTTATATGCGTGTATATTATATGGCCATATCCTGTAGCAATTTAAACGTATATAAAATGTATTTAGTTTGATGGACGGCATCCTGCGGGGTCCTTATCTGGATAAAAATGGCGAGAAACCAGGATATATACCCAAATCGATAGGCCATAAAATTCTATAAACTGCTGTTCGGATTTCTTAGTCTCTTACAAGTTTTGATAAGGACACATTTGCAAATTCCATTTATATACACTATGTTCTTTTATTAAAATAGAATAATCTCTCATAGATATGGTTCGATATCTGACTTAGTGCACATGGACACACGACAAAAAAACCAGAATCCATCAAATGCCAATGGGCAAGAACAGTTAACCTAATAGGACTGCTCATTCAGCCAAAAGTGTCCGCCAGGTGCATGCGAAAACTCCTCGCTTTGTGACGTCATTGTAGTCCTTGTCAATGTTATTAGTCCTTATCCGGCAACCAATAATACATACACGTGCATTATTGGTTGCCGGATGCAAAACGTTCATTATTTAGTTTATTTATTTAAACACCTTATATGTATGCCGTATAGAAAATTAACTGTATAAATCGTATTAAATACTCGGATAATGCATTTTTAAGAACAGCTGTTCCCAGCATCACCTTTTGCGGACATTCTTTTTAGAGTACTTCCATATTTTGCTTTAAAATAATTAACAAACAATATCGTAGGCACTTAGTAAGCACTGTGTCACAATCCACAACACAAAATGAACGTATTTATACACTCTATAGCTCTAAAAATTTTAACAACACCTTTTTCACATTTAAAATGGACAAAATAATTAACTCAAAATTTCGCAGCTGTTATTTTTATAAGTTTACCATAGGCAACTAATAATACACACTATCATGACAAGGACTACAATGACGTCACAACTGTCAGCTGAAGCGCGGGAAGAGGCGAACGTACGTCTTATGAGGATGAGCAATCCTATTAGTTTACCGTGATCTGTGGTTTACCGTTCTTGACTTGGACCTGCATAGCCAAGAATAGACAACAATGGACCCAACTACAAAGAAAGTATGCAAGGGAAGCTACAGCATAATTGGAAATGGTTGAATAAGCTGAAAATGATGATGATGATGATACCAGGCAGAGAAGACTGGATAAATGGTCCTAGACTGGATAATAATCCATTTAAGCTGGTGCTCAAGAACGTCAGAAGACATAGGAGCTGGAACAGTAGGTTTTAATGAAACAAGGAATAGTTTGATCCAAATAAAATACGAATCTACCATTTCCAGAGGCAAAAAACTTACACATTTTTCAAGGAATAAAGGTATAGGCATTATTTACCCAGTATATAATTAAAATAAATATGATTGATATATTATACAGAGTAAAATGAAGTGACGGGGATGAATATTAACTTGAAATCAATTACCTGAAGCGAAATCTCTCGTCAAACATGCATAGAAGACAAGTTATTTCAAAACTTTTGGAGATAAGGGGTAGAATCTTGACGAACTGAGATCATATTCACCCCCAAATCGCTCATTTTGTGCTTTATCTTGTTCATATCGGTTTGAAACTCGTTAGTTCCACCTCTTTGCTAGATTATGTTAAATAGATTTAAGCCCCGCTGTAATATCCAGTTTAAAAGAACAACTATAGAGGTTACAAGAAATAGATAGGGCCAAGTAGTGTAAAAATGAGACACTGAAATAATACTAATGAAAACAAGTGCGACGTTGCCAAGTCTCGTTTAATAAAAAAAAATCAGTAGATTTAGGGAATTTACATATACTCCATGTTATAGGATTTACATAGGGTGCGGTGCTATGGACGGTAAAATTTCACTAAATTTTGGGAAAAAATAGGCGTTGGCCTTAGTCTAAGGTGTCGCAATGACTACTTCCATGCAATGGTTTTTATCACAAATATTTTTTATTTATTTAAAAATGGTCGCTGAATAATTATCAAAAAAAAATCTTAAACTAGGTAATTCAACAAAAAAATAAAGCATCTTTTTTCCTTTGGAAATAAACCCAATTTCAAAATGCTAAAATATACTTTTCAACGCTTAACGTCACGTTCCGCTCAACCTGGAGATTACAAACCGCAGCTCTGTATTCCTCTCCAGTTTTTCCAGTCCCATTTTCCAGTTTTCCACGTCTCTTTTATTCAGCCAGTCGGAAAACGCAATATTGAATTTTCCAGGGTTTTTTCGGGCAGCTGGAAAACCCTAGTTTTGAGGATGAAAGCTGTACGAGCAGTTGCAGGAAATTGCAGAATTCAAATAAGTCCTAATTTGTGGGGTTTCAGTGTTTCTTTTTATAAGTGTTAGTGTTTATTATAAACAACAAAATACAAAACACGCTAGGCGCTGCACAATTACGAGAACAAGCAGGCTTTAGAAGCGACTTTAGCACGACTGGTCACTTACTGCCATTACTCGCTGACGAGTATTTGACACGCATCAGAAGATGATTACCCAAAGCGTTCATGAGCTTTTCTTTTTTCTGTGTCTCTCTTCCGCACTCCGGACATTCAAAGATCTCATTACTTTGTTGCCTCTTTATTTTTTGGTTGTCGTTGTTATTTTTTTAAACATTTGAGCTTTTAAGCTTCATTAAGAACCTCGCAATTAGTGGAATAAATTAGTGGTTTCAGTTAGCGTAAAAGTTTGTTCCTTTAATTGCAATGTAAGCATTCAGAACGTCAAAATTAGTAGTAGACATATTCAGTTAGTAGAAAAAGTTATCAAACTTTTAACTTTTCCACTTCACGGGAGTGTCACTTGTATGGGAAAACAGGCAACAGTCAAATTTAAACGTGCCAGGACCAACGACAAAGAAAGCAACATCTGCCAGGCATTGGCTTTCTTTGTCACTCACATTGCTTAAATCATGATACCGCGGCCATTTTGTCAACAAAGAAGCTGGCCGGGCTGTCCTGGCAAGTGATTTAAAACAATTTTGCTTTTTTACAATATTAAATTACCATTTGGATGTATTTAATGCGATTATTCAGTTAACTGGTAAGTCAGAAATTACACACAAATACTTTATTCGTAAATACAACTAAGATGTAAACGTATTTTTGTATTTTTAGATTTCAACTCTTGCAAAGACCCGCCGATAGAACTTGCCTGGCAGCGTACCTGTTTAACTAAACGTATTATTTCCTGATAATAATATCAAAACACGTAAGTACCTCTATAATTTATGATGAAAAGTGATTTTGATTATGTTTTATATTATTTAAATACTTTCTAACCTCAAATAATAGTAAGATCCTTGTTTATATCGCACAGCCCGTTCAAAACTGTATTGTCTTCAAAAAATGTTTACAAAACAAACAATTATTACAAAAACAATGTCCTTTTAATCTGATTTATACTTCAGAAGGATGCCAGTAAAATTTTATTAAATCAACATTATATTATTTGGCCATTAATATGCAAAAAGGAGCATATTGCCTTAACTTAAATTTTCTTTTACTTCTCCTGACAATGTTCTCTATATTCTCTATTTTGAGTTAGTAAACTTTTGAACGGGATGTGCGATATATAAAATACATAATATATCCAAGGGTATGATCTGATAAGTATTTTTGATGCATTTTTTGGTTGTTTATGCACGTTGGCTTGGTTTATGTTTTATTCAGCTTATATTTATTTGGTATAACAGTAGTTTTATCCTAGTGAATTATGCATGTTGAGGCTAGATAGTGTTTCATTAGATCATTAAAGGAATTTAAATTAGCATATACTTTTTGTCATATTAGTGTGTTATCATGATACAGGTAGTTGTATCATAGTGCCTTATGCATGTTATTTACCTATTATATACTTATGTAATGTATTATCAGTAATAGATGATAACATACTACTAAAATGTCTTTTAATAGTATGTTTATCTTTCCAATTCACTAGTTATTTGCAAAATGTATTTTGAACTAATTTAAGTCATTAATTGATCATCTTTCTTTTCAGGTTCCGATATTCTTTTTCATTGTTAAAAAAATTATATATTTCAATATTATTGTAATATAAATCGCAGCTCTAAAAAATAAATGATATTGTTTACTAATGTGTAATTTATTTACTATGAATTTTCTCTGAAAATAATAAATATTTAATAATATCATTGATTTGCTGTGTAAAGTTAATAGACATTATAATACAAGTAATAAAAATATGTTTATTAACTTTAAACAGTAAGGCAGTGATACTTATAAAAATATTTTTTTTTTAAATTTCCCCTTTTTTAAGCCCCGCCCCTCCAATTCCCCTCAATTTAGCTAGTACTGCCAGGCGACACCAGGTGGCGTCTGTTTCCATTTTTTAACATGAAGTTAGCATTTCTTTAATGTACCTATTCTCTGTTTTCCACTAATTATACTTCAAAATTTGCGAGAATGTCATTTTGGCCTTTGATTATCTCATATATTGTTAAACGGGAAGTAAGTAGTAAGTATAAACGGGATTAACCATTTTAGAACAAGCAAAAAACGTTATGAAGAATGCATTTTTCAAAAAATGTCAATAATAAAAACGTTTTTCCTCGTGTAAAGCCAATCCGGGGGACATACTGTATAAAATTACATAATTAATAATCATAAAAGCCGCAAGCAGTACGTATACATAACGGTCTAATCTAAAATTAAGTAAGTTTCCAAAGAAAAACTTTTAATGCAGTTTGCCAATTTCTTAAGCGAGTTCCGCAGAGTAAAAAAATCAGGTCGACGGACGACCAGTTTCATAGAAAAACTTTGCCAGACCGAAAATT